GAAGCGAATGGATGGATGGGTAATTCCTGAAGAAAGTTGAAGGATGGAGTACACAGCATTTTGTACTTATTGTCAACAAATCACATGAAAATACTAAAACCAGCCATGTTTGTTCATCTCTAAAAGCAGTTAGACGTCCTGACGTGCAGCTCCGAAACCTACATGGTTTACAATAAAACCTATATGGTTTTATTTATTAGTGGGGACACGGTGGTGTGAACTGTTTGGTTGAACAGGCGGCCTGTTTTCAGCCTCTGCGATTGTTTGACCTACTGATCTGTTTGGTGATGTCATTAAAACCTTATTATTTGGTTACTGATGTATAAAAACTTGACCAAAAAGTTCACTTTCCTCCTTAAAAAAGGGCAGAAATAAATAAAATAGCTTTTTATTCACCTGTTTTTAAGTTCTAATATCTCCCTGCATCCAAACTGCCAGGCAAGTATGCAATTCAATTTGTAAAATGTTTCTGTTTTTGCCCCAAAACAATGACATTTTGATACACGTGAGCTACGTAAATACTAAAATCAGCTTTAAAATTCTTAAAAAGTGTAAAACGTCTGCAACTGGTGACATGACCTGACACAGCACTACAGCACATCCTGCTCTGTGTCCTCAGTGGCGGCTACAGCTTCACCAAGTTGCACTAAAGCAGATATATTCTTTAGTGGAAACATGAAAAGCAGTTTAAATCAGACAGCCTCTCGGATCAACATTGACACATAACCGTTAATGGTTATCCAAAGGTTTGCTCGTCATTGTCTCCGACTGTGTTTTCTGCTTTCTGTGTGACTAATGTGTGACTAGTGTCCCCGTGTCCTGTCCACCTGTCTCCGCTGCCTGTTGAAAAATGATTTTGGACTCTGGATGGAGAAAAGGACCTTCTGTCTGATTCTTTTGTTTTATTGAACCTTCCTGCTGTCACTGAACTTTCTGGAGTTTGAAGCATCTGAGCAGAACTTTTCTGAAAGCTGAAGAGTTGGAGAGACGTTTTAAAACATTACTAGACAATTCCACAACCTGCAACTAAGCTCACGGACTCTCAATCGATAAAACAAACTTTTACCTACCGCTTTAATTAATGCTTCTCTGGTTATTTTTGTGCTCTAATTATTTATTTTACATTGTGTGTTGTATATATTTACCTAAAGCTTTTTCTTGATTTTTCAATAACTGCTTAAATTAAGACTTTTGGTCCATTTAGCACTCTGGTCCAGGGATGGTTATCTCAAGGTGCGCAATGAACCCATTAGCTTTTAAAGCTTTCTTTGGCCTTCATATTACCTTTTTTCTTCATCACTCAAAGGTCCACTTCTTGGCTGTTTTCTGAATCTTCAGCTACATCTCAGAGCTTTGGGTGAATTGAGGTGTGTTTTTGTGTTTTTCACTTGTTCTTTATAGTCCAGCTCTGTTACCCAGGATAATAAAAATAGACTTGATCTAGGAGCAGAGAAAGATCTGTGTTGTCAAACCCGTTGAGTGTGTGAATACACGCCAGCATCGCAGGATATTTATCCAGTCTTCCAAGAACAACAGGAAAGTGAAAATTATGCCATCCAGAAAAACTCAAATGTTTTTTTGGCCACAAAACCTTGAGTAAAAATCCGACTTTACCCCGGCTCGCTTAATATGTAATACACAGAGGGGCCTGTTTTCTTGGCTTTTAACTTGTTCTACGTGCTTCGTTACTTATTCAGTTTTAATGAGTAACAATAGTCAAATCCTGTGTTTAAATTAACCGTTGCTGAATTTCTGTGCTGCCTGGTAAACAAAGAAGAATAACATTCAGAATGACGTTCGTTTGTTTTCTTTTTTCTTTGTTGACGGGGTGGTTATTTATCTTGTTTTGGTGCAAAGCTTCCAGGCTCGATGAAAAAATGATCAATTTAAAGTACACTTTTCATCTTGTGTATGTTTCCTACATTTACATTATGTTGTTGTAATGTCTGGGTGCTACAGTGCTGTCGCATTTGCTGATTTATGTAAGCATTAATCGATTTTTTATTTTGTTTAATTTAATTAAATTTTCCGTTTCAGTCATTCAGCTCATGTGATGAAGCTTTAAGGAGATGTGGTTGAAGGATGTGGACAAAAGCATTTAAGAGGGCCTTTGAGGAAGCATTATCACACAAACTGTTCACAGGGTCCCAGATGAACTTTTAATGCTTTAATATGTTTGTTTTTCTGTCCAACACACTGAGCACTGGAGCCTCTAGAGGGCAGTAGCAGGACTTTTGGCTGTCAGTCTGATGTACTGCTAGCAGATAGCTTCTTTTAGCACTTTTAACCTTCAGGTTATTGTTTTCACAGTTGCACTGGAAACCAGAAAAAATGTTAATGTTACTAATGATGTCATGGTGTCACCTCATCAAACTGTATAACAAATACTCTGATGTAACGCAATGTCACAGGAAAGCAGTCAGATACTGTGTAGACAGCTCTACCTGAGGAACACATGCCCGCTCAGGTAAAAGGCAGCATGTGATTGGTCAGATTAACACTGGTGTCAGTCTTAATGACTTTGGAGTTAAAGGATGGGTTCATATTTTATTTGCAGCCAGTACGGACAACATTATCAACTACATTGAGCAATGACTCACAGACATGTGAGTGCTGTGTTACAGTAGACTTGAGGAAATGTGAACCTATCCTTTAATGGTAAAAGTGGTCTACTACTGGATAAATGTGCTCATTTTCTTAAAACTTTACATTAATTTCTTCTACAGGGTTATTGGGTGATGTAAACATCAGAAGCGCAGCATGTGGTGGCCTTCACATGATAGCCTGGTGGCAGCATTGTCTGTGTCCTCTATGCTTTGTTGGGAACTCTTCCATAACTTCACCTTCTTGAGCTAGTCTTGGCTGCTGTAGCTCCTCATTGGCTTTCTTTAGTCCTTTGACCTTCAAGTTAGTCTTTTGTAGGAAATTCCACATGGATGTTGCCCACAGCAGCTGACTTTAGTCTAGAAATGAGGACGCACACTATACTTTGGAAATGGCCTCAACAACCAGACACTGGAACCTGGCTTCTTGCAGTTCATGGGAAGTTTTTGTACATCTAGATAGGTTAGAGTGTGATCCCTATGAGGTCTGAATTCTTGTCTGTCAGTCAGAAGCTTGAAGTCAGAAGTGGAGGGCAGTGGAAAACTAGCTTTGACCCTCTAGAAGTCTGTTTATGGTGTCTGTGAGGACCTTATCATCCCACCACCTGCGGCGCTTTTTGACATCCAGTTAAGATGTTGCTCAGGCTACATGAGCCTAACTGACACCGCTTGCAGGATGCATCATCTTCCTTGTCTCAGGCAATAAAGCTGCTTGGGATTGGAAAGAGGTTAGTCACAGCACACATAAGGAAGTCCAGCATGCCCTGCTCACAGCCCCAGAGCTCCTTCCAGGACCGCAATGGCTCTACTGCTTCAAACCTATCCTCATATTGCATTGGGTGTTAACACCTACTGATTATATGTGTTAGTCTTCTTTTTAAACTCTCAGCAGCATGAGTTGCCTCTTGACTTTGGCTTTGTTAGACCTGACCAATGATTTTCTAGTGTTTCAAATGTTCTTCTGCCTCCCTCACTGCTTGAAATAGTAGTGATTATTAAAGGATGGTTTCTTTCTCTTTGGTTTTTGGAGGTTATCTCTGGTTTCATATACTTTAAATTTAAATTTAGCACATTTAGAAATGATCAATAGCTAACACGAGCACATTTACAGCATTGGTGTAAATGTCACTACGCTGTTTTTATGTAAATACTTTTGTTGCCATGGCAAGAAAAAAGCACACCAGGCCTCACAGCTAAAAGACTGTATCAGAAAGAGAAACACGAGCAGAAAAAGTCAGTAACCCTCACATTTGGAAAACGTCATCGTCAATATTGAATTTTCCGTGTTTTCAAGTGGTCAGTATTTTAAATGTCTTCCTGCCTCTTCCTGAAGAACTTGAAGCCTCTCAGTCTTCCAGTAACAAACAAACAGTTTATTTGTGTGTGTGTGTGTGTGTGTGTGTGTGTGTGTTTTCTATGCAGTAACTGATCTCACAGCTCAGTAACTTACTTCAGTTCTTGTGTGTCAAATCTGTGTTAATGATGGCTGTCTGACTCTTTTACATCAAATCAGC